AATTGGAATGAAGACTTGGTGACCTCGGAAATATTTTCTTCTTCCTCTTCTGCAATTTCGTCTCCTATCATGACAAATAATGAATGCTTTGCTCCTTTAACTTCCAAAATACTTTCTTCAGCCTTCACCACCTTAAAACCAATTCAACCAACATTTACTAAAAACATTATTCCGGATACAAAACTCACATCAAACTGTTCCAGTAGTTTAACTTCCGCCGGTCAAATTTCGTTTTCATCATCATCAGTAGTTGAAGAAGCTAAAAAGAAAACTACTGTTGGTCGAAAGAGAAAAGCTGAAAGTGTAGAAGAAAGAGAACAAAGACAACGTGAAAGGTATGATGATATTATCATTATTCATTTATCAATTAATCACAAAATAATTTTTCCAATAAATAATAAATAATTCATTCGATAATAGAATACTTCGAAATCGACATGCAGCACAAATGTCAAGAGATAAAAAAAGAAAACAAATGACTGATTTAGAGTCACAGAATACAGTTCTTAAAGAAGAAAATGTACATTTATCAAAAAGATTAAAGATTGTAGAAGAGGAAAATTCAATTTTATCGGCTAAATTAGATACCATTTTAGGGCAGCTTGCTGAAATTCAATCGCAACTTTCCATTTCCGAGATGAACAAAGTCCTACTTGACGGTGTTTGCGGATCAGCAGTATCCGCGACCTTGGAAACTTCAGTTTCTTTTAATGATGATGATGATAATAATAAAGAAGAAGAAGTAAAAAAAAGCAATAATAATAATTATTATAATGATTATTTTAATCAATATCATCAAGAAATTAATGTTTCCAAGAAGTCCCTGCAGCGGCACGTCAAGTTCAGGAACCTTTACGGGACATCATCACAAATCCATTTGCCATACAACCATCAACAACAACAGAATTGTCAGATCCTATTATTTCAACTAATACTGAAACAAGCCTTGTTGACCTTTTTGATAGCTTTTTGGACTATGATTGGGGATCAGAAGAATTTTCTTC